TCATTTCAGTGCAAGACATTGTCCAAATTGGTGCTTTTTATGAAATGAATCTACTTTTTCCTAATCCAGGTGATGTGTGGCTAAAAAGGTCTTTAAAACCCAAAAACGTTATGTTTGTATGTGCAACTCCCTCAAACTAATCTATCTATCGGTCGATCTAATCTCTGTCTATCGCGGAGACAAAAAAAAATGACATGCTAAGGTATGACCTTTTATCTCAGCCTTAATTAGAAACATATGCATTATGTACATTATATTGAGTTAAGAATATTCACAAAAATACTTTTTTGTTTGGATACTGGTGACATTATATTGTATCTAAGGCACAAGCAAAGCGTGGAAGTGACAACTAGTGAAGCAAAACAGCAGAGGGTGAAATATCCACAGAAACCCCAGGAGCTCAACCACAAAGAGAGAAAATAAATACATAAATAAATTAAAGACAAAATACTTGTGTCCACTTTTTTCTCTGTCAGTCTCTCTGCGGCGCTCCTGTGAATTTCAGGATGCCACAGATTCAAACGTCTCCCCCTGCTGGAATGGGAGAGTAGTGCTGTCAGATATGAAGTGAGAGGTCAGGTTGTCCTACTGCCCCGCCGCCCTGGCTGCTCGCTGCTGCTCCAACATCGACCTGAGTGCAGGGGACATCATGGTGGGGGACATAGCTGGGGTGAAAGGTCGCAAGGGGTACTGTGCATTTTTACCAGGGACATAAATGCACTGGAAGTATCTCTGGCCTGTGAAGACAGCAAGTAGATGGAATGATTTTAAAAAAAGATAATCAGGTTGATTACACAGATAACAAAGGGGAGAATGGAATCCAAACTGAGCTCCAACTTAGAGAACATTTAAATATGGAGTTCTTAATTGGTTAATGGGTCTTAATTTTGAACCTTAAATCAAACTAACATTGGTATTAAATGAACTGAATCCAAAGACTGAAACAAAACTCAGATATTAACAATCTAGCTAAACCTCAGGGAGTTCCTGGCTCCCGGAAGTAACACAACACACAACTACTCCTCATTTAAGATATCACCATGAAATGTAGGTTAAAGATCCAGCAAGAAACACCCATGTGCTCCCTGGTCGAATGGTATACATAACACCTCTCTGTCTTTTCCCTCAAAAAGCCAAAAATCTAATAATATTTATAACAAACACCCAAAGTATTTTCCATTTTGATGAAAGTTGAAATAAAATAAATATAAAATATTCACATAACTTTGTCATATGTAGTCATTAGGAACCAGTCTGTTTCCTCAATAACGACCCCAGTAACTGACAGTAAAAACAGTCCGAGTAACTTTTACCTGGTTTCTTCTTCTCTGTCGTGTTGTCTTCACTTTGATGCTCTTCTGCAAGAAACAGGGACAAAACAAAGAGAGATTTTGGCATCGTGTGTGTGTGTGTGTGTGTGTGTGTGTGTGTGTGTGTGTGTGTGTGTGTGTGAGAAAGAAAGAGGATAGGACAGATGATGAGTGTGAGTCTCTACATGCATGTAAGGAGGAAAAGAGGAAAATGAAAATCATCCAACAGACACGTGATGTTGTTCTGAATTCTTCAGCTCTTTATATTTCCTGTTAAAATCCAAGTGAAACTCAAAATCATTTTGCTACGAAATGAATGGTGTAATTTCTGTCATTTACAGGAATAAGGCATGTAAGTTTTACTTATTTCTATTGCTATGGTAGCGCTTCCAGTGGACAGTTTACTATAATGTGAGACAAACACAACACTGAGTGTGAGGAGCTGAAATAACAAAGAGGAACAAAATATTAGGATTCTGCTGTCAGTGAACTGATACCATAGAAAAACACACTCAGAGGTACGGTTTCCACAAAAGGTGGGTAGAATTCAAATTTCAGTTTGTTTTTAATTATGATTTATAATGGGAATATTGTTATTCCAAACAACCTGCATGGAGCCTTTTTTTTAAGCTATTGAAGGTCGATTTCTGTTGAGATGAAGCTGCTGTCCTTCAACTGAACGGTGGAGAACTGTCTCCTGCATAAAACAGAGCATTTGAATTTTGTACTGGTGTTGTCCATGAGGTACTGAACTCTCAAAAGACAAAGATGTTTGTCTTCCCTTTTTTACCTGGTTTAAGTATCTGAAACAACCCAAATCCAAAAACTGCAGCAAATTTAATCACAGAAATCAAAGTTTTCTGATTGTACTGTAGTGCAGTGGTTCCCAACTGGGGGCCACGAAGGTATTGCAAGTGCGCTGACAAATTATTTGCTAAGCTTTGTACAATATATGTGAAAAAATGTAATTATGAAAAACTAAAAATATAAATAGATTCTTAAATGTTTTGAAATGAAATGATCTTAAAACATTTGAAATGTTTAAATTGGTTTTTCTCACTGACATAAGCCACAGTGGAGACTGTGGAGCTTCCTACTCGTTTGCTCTGAAAAGGTATAAGATTTTTGAGATTTTCTTTTTATATATACATACATATATAAAGAAATACATATTTGCCTTTATTGTGAAAGTATAGTGAGAGAGAGACAGGAAAGTCAGGGAGAGAGAGAGAGGGGATGACATGCAGCAAAGGGCCGCAGGTCGGACCCGAACCCATGGCCTATGTGATACTCGCTCTACCAGGTGAGCCTCAGAGGCCCCCCCACACACACACACACACACACACACATTTTTGAGATTTTCATGGGCCATGAATTGGAAAAGGTTGGGAACAGCTGCTCTAGTAGACAGGAGCTACTGCGTCACCAATGATAGTAGAAAAGTGTAGAGACACTCGGGGCAGTGGGGGAGTGTTGATACTCCACTGGATGACTCAATAAGAACAGAACACTAATACCCCAGTTTAACGGGTTTTAGTTCATGGATTTAATCAGTCTGGCTAAGTATTATTGTTGCTATATTCATCAAAGGCCATAATCTCCCCTCATAACTCAAGGCAGTTCAAAAGACGTAATCTCGTCTCAATCAGATCATCTCATTAAATTCTAATCACTTATGTTCCTAATGTCATTAAGAGAGAGCGTCTCTTCATATTGAGTTAACCAGTGGGAAGATGGTGAGAAAGAACTGAATACCTCAGGCCTTACAGGAAGCTCTCTTTGCTCCCTCTATGAACAACAAGCATATGGTATGAAGCGTTACTGTCAGGAAGTAAAGCAGTTAATAGCATCACTGTGTGTCTGAGCAGTTTCACTCAACAGCTGATAGAATATCTAGAAGTACTAAGTTGGACTTGAACATGTTTCTCCATTCACCCAAGAGGCTTTGTCAGTTTGTTCAAATGGTGGGAATTTAAATTTTTTTTTTTTTAAACCTGCTTGTGTCACATGATAACATTGTCGTGAACCTAAAAACCACCTGACCTGACTGGAGGTCGAATTACCCGAGAGGTTTCTGTTGTCGTTAAGGAAATGTCATAGGCTGCTGATCAAGTTATGTTTACTTTCTTTTTTTTTTTAAGTTATTTTGGGGGAATTTTGCCTTTATTATAGTAACAATGACAGAGACAGGAAAGGTGGGAGAGAGAGAGAGAGAATGACACGCAGCAAAGGGCCACAGGTGGGGCTGGAACCGAGGCCGCTGCGGTAACTCAGCCTAAACGGTACCTGCTCTACCAGGTGAGGTTTCACAGAGATATCTCAGACTGGTCTGTAGCGTTGGTGGAGTCGTAGGGGACAGGGAAACAGGAGAGGTTAAAGAAATAAAATCTAAGAGGGAAGATCAAGGTAGAAAGCCACTGCTCCAGGACTACCTCATCTGAGTTGTGCTTCTACTCTTAGATTCAGACTAATCTTTTTTCCCTTATTTATTATTTAGAGCGCACAAATTATTCTTTTGTCAATTTTCACTTCATGTAAATATTTAATTATTTGTTTAATAATTTATTTGTTTTTTTATTTCTGTATTTTGTTTTTCTTTTACTTGTTCACCTTGGATAATGTTCAAACCCCAAAGACAATCCTTAAACCGTCATATCATATGTTTTTATAAATGTGAATGTATATTAATATTATTTTAAAATTCTTTTTTATCATGAAAACGAGCACTGGCACAACAATTCACTGTATGATATATGTGTATGTATGATTTTCTATGGCTCAATAAAACATATTTGAAAATAAATAAATAGTGATAGGCCAGTCTTAATCTGGCTCATAGATTAGTTTAAAACAAGGTAGACTGTTTCACAAAAATAAAGACTGATTCATTTTAAGACAAAAAATGAGACACCTTACCCCCAAGCTAACTCAGCCCTAAGACCAATGTTACCATGGTAACAATCAATGACACCCAAATGGGGTTTTTCTTTTTATTGTAACAATCTTCAAGTAAAACATCCTTGTAACTGTTGAATTCTTCCAAAAGACACATATTTTCTGTGGGGTGGTTGGATGTGGTTCCTTGGTTGGCCTTTTTTTATATATTGAAAAAAGGCTTAATTTACCCAGAATTCATTGTACCACAGTCTGGGTTAAGATAGTCAAGAACTGAACTGCTTCGTGCAATGGATGAATTTACATGTCTATCTGAGGTCTGACTATCTGTTATATCTGCCACAGTCAGTCTGTCTTTGTGAAACCAAGATCAACGATTCAACTAAACAATTCACTTCAAAGCTCTATCTCCACTATGTGTTCATCTGCCATTCCAACAGTGCTTGTTGACCAAGTGACCTCAACGACCCACTTGACCTTAATGACCCACGGGTGACACGAACGACACACAGAGGAGGAGAACTGACAAAGCCTCTTGGATGAAGCAGAAAACCTTTTGAAGTACTCCTGGATAAATGACACCAATCACCTTTGAGTTCACAGTGTTATTCATTATTATAGTGGCTGGATATTATTTGCACTGGTGATAAATGACTTTCTCATACGTACTAGCTCGCGATGGTTTTTTCTCTTTATCTAAACATTTGAGAGGAGGCAAAAAAAGAGAGAAACTCATCAATGACAAACATGCACAGCAGAGATTCTTCACTTTCTGATTTTGAATCCATACCTTGAGCCTCTTTTGCAGATTTCTTTTCAGCCTTTTCAGCTTTGCCTGCAACAGCAGAGACAGCCCTATTACAGCCTGACACATAACTCTCCATAATTGTGGTGTAGCTACATTTAATATTCTTGTGATATTATTCCCCTCTCAGCGTAATACAGCTTGACATGTCCCTAATTATAACTTTACCACATAGAAAGAAGTCTATTTAATCACATAATATGCAACAACATTTTCAAGAGGTGTGATTTCTACTGAAAGATGCCAGTAGAGACCTAATATCATTAAATATAACAGTTTGTTTGGAGAAAAATCCATCTCTTCTCTACCTACTCTCTTTCTCTTACTCATCACGTTGACATAAGTAGAATCATGCTGCTTTCAAATGTACCTCGTGGGGTTGTATTTTCATTGTGTGATGTTCAGTTCACTGCCTTGAGGTTTAACTAATGGAACGTGACTGACAATAAAACGGTAGGTGAGGAAGCCTCGTTACGTTTTCAAATGAATGATTTTATGTTTCCTGCATTTGCTGGCAACATTTTGGAAACTACCCTTTGTGGCTGTCTTAGAAGAATTAGATGAGAGGATCGATGTCACTCTCAGGTCTGCCTGGTCAGAAGACTGCAGCTTAGGTTAGCTTAGCTTAGCATAATGACTCGCAAATATTTGTTGGCCAGGATCAACACCTACCTGAAATCTCACACTAACAACAAGACAAAGTAGTGCAGCACATAACCACCTGTAACACCACAACTTCTCATTGTACACTTCTATTTTTGTGTGGTTTAAATGTGGCATGTCAATTATTGAGCTTTAGATGTGCTGGTGGATTCTGTTCCCTCTGGACACAACCAAGCTAGCCATTTCCTGTTGTTTCCAGTCTAAACGCGAAACTAAGCTCAGCTAAGCTCAGCTAAGCTAAGCTAAGCTAACCTTCACTTGGATGTATCTCTACTATTACTAGACAGACGTAAGAGTTAATAATAATAAAGCTTTTCTCCAAATGTTGAACTAATGCTTTGAAAAGGTCAGTGTACAGTATCTCTCAACTCCTGAGCTTTGAGAAAATGTATCCTCAGAAAAACAAGGTTTTGAATTCCACATCAATGTCTCATTCAAGTGGAAGCAGCTACAGGACATGGATTTAAAATACAAGTAAACAAACAAAAAAAGTACAAGCAAATACAACTTACTTTTCTTATCTGCCACTGATTTTGATCTTGTCTTAGCTGAAAATAAAACGGACAGACATAAAAAGTTTCAGTACAAGAGTCTCTGCTCCACAGAGAAATCCTAAATGCTCGAGGTAAATAGTTGGATCCCACATTAGAGACACAACAGTATGACCTGGTTCAGACGAAGACCTGGCAGGTTTCTCCTCTTTGGCCTGAGACGTGACATTCGCCCTCTTGATGGTTTCTAGTCTCGTTCTCAGTCTGAGCGGCTGTGGACGTGGTTCTGGATCTGGATCTGTTGAAGAAATATTAACACTTGGATTTAAATTTATATCAGTTGGACCAAACTGCGGTTAAGCATCAGCATTAACATAAAAGATAATGCAATCCAAATCTTAAGTCAAGTACAACATTTCATTTACCTTTCTTGGAAGTAGATGTCTTGGCTTTGCTCTTGACAGGTGACGCTTCTGAGAGGAGCAAAATAATTAGTTTCCATTCATGATTGACTTTATGCAAATTACTGAACATCAGTGTGTGTAGTTACCTGTCTTTTCAGAGGATGATCTCCTCTTCTGTTGCACAGCTGCAGGCTCTAACATAATAAATTGTGATTAGTGGCCTGAATAATTTTCGTTCTTAGTTAAACATTAACTTCACATTAAAGATGGAGATGAGTATCGTTGAGATGATTTTCATATAATTTTCTGATGTTTTACCTTTCTTAGCCGTTTTGGTTTTCTCTTTCACCGGCTCTGTAGAAACAAATATTGTCAAATATTGTTACCAAATTAAATTTATTCAAGAACTTAATACAACCACGCGTCAACCTTGTTTTTTCCACAATATATGAATATCATATTCTACAAAAATGTTCAGTACCTTTCTTAGCTACTGTAGGACTTTTGACTTTCTCTTCTTTTGCAGCTGACTCTGTCACAACAAATACATAATGAGTACATTATATTCATCAAGACATGTAGATCCATAGTTAAAGGTCCCATCTTCCTGTTTTTTCTCTTATGGCTGGAGCAGTGACTGCTTTGTTGTGACATCACAAAATGACAGAAGTCCTGACGGCTGGTTTTAAGGCTCAGTCTCTGAATACAGGCTGTGTGCATTTCTCTGTGGACTGAGGCTTTGATACTTTCACAGTATTAATATAGAACCTAGACCTGATCTATAATCAAACTACACATGGACAGAGACCTTTAAACTATATGAAACCTCTTTGTAGTCGCTGCTTTGATTGTGTCTTTTGAAGCAGCAGCATCTAAAATTGGCAAATGTGTTGATTTATGTTATTCATATCTGGCTCACGATTGTAGATCTGTGTGTATATTTACAACAAAGCAAAGCTCCAATTTGCTGCCTGTGTCATTCATAACAACATTCGAGTGTAGAGCAGTGAAAACACCAAATTAGCCGGCTGTAAACATAAATTACCTTTCTTTGTTTTCTCTTTGACCGCTGCTGGCTCTAAGGGGATAATTGGAGTGAAATGGCCATACAGACTTAATTTTCCATAATGAATACATTCATAAAGCACATTATGTCATTGTACATCAGTGTTAAGTGCTGCAGCTGTAGTTAGTTACGCGGAATATTCCAGTTAGCTGACAAATTAAGCATTTAGTGGATCAGGGGACTCATACAGCACCTTTGTCTGAATCAGCAGTCTTTGTTTTCTTCTTTGCAGCTGGAAAATGATCACATATTAATTATTGTATCGTTCAGTGCAGTAATTAAGGAGGACATAATTACATTTTTTAATTATTAAATAATCACATCGCTTGTACCTTTCTTGGCAGGAGCAGCCTTCACTTGTTCCTCAACAGTCACTGCATCTTTAATGAAAAGAGTTTAGATGAATTATGAAATTAAGATTTCATTTAAATTATAGTTACAGCAGCAGTGTAACATTTCACATCTTAATCATTCATTCATATCCTGAGGCTAAGATATGTGTTTATACTGTTTATTTCAATGATGTTTCCAAGTTCTGAAGAAAGAACAGAAGAACTTTATTACAGTTAAATTTACGTTTTCAATTTGGTAAAGATCTTGATTTGAGATGAAAACTCATATTTTACTCTCAGTAGGCCCAAATACTTAATGTTTTAAAAACATAAACTTCAATTTGCATAAACCTTTGAAATGAAAAATAAAAAAACTAAACTGCAACACAATCTCACTGATGTGGGATTAGGACACCAAAGGAAATAGAACAGAGAAGTTTAGTAGTGGTGAGTGTCAGAGCTTTTAGAATTTCTCCCTAAACTCTTAAGACAAGTTTATATGGAGACGGCTCCATACATTATAGGACTTCAGATTGGTTTACATAGAGAGGAAATATTAAAGTAAACAAATCATAGAAAAAAATGTAAATTTGAACAATAGAAAGTATTTTAAAAGAAATTATAAAGATAAAAAACAGAAATAAAAAAGAACAAGATGTAACTGCAAAGTGTAAAATAATGAGTCTTTCAAGATCAGCCAAAAAATAAATAAAAGTTTTTAACCTGCATTTAAAAAAGATAATAAGTCAGGGCAAGTCTTACATGCTCCTCCTCCTCTGCTGCATAGGAACCTCATTTTTACCATTTTGTTACTGGAATTCGTCTTTAATACTTGACACTGGATTGTATCTCTGAAGCATGGGATCATTTATTCCAGAATAAAGTCTGTTTCTCTCTCTTTTGTGTGCTTTTAATCCATCCTGTTTTTTCATGTGAAACTATAGTTTAAATATAAAATTGTTTTTTTTGGATTTGAGTGAGAAGATTTACCAGATTTCTCTCAAATTCTGTAAATGAAGATTAACATCTGCATTTAAAGTGGTTTCCTTTTGTGTTAAGAGCACATAATTAAAAAAAATATATATATGTACGTATAATATAATACAAGGCTCAGCTTCGATGAAATGAACTACCACACTCTTCCTCACCATGGACCAGAGCTGCGGCTGGCTGAGCTTCAGCAGCTGGAGTCTGGACCTCAGGCTGAACAGGAGCCTCTTGTTCTGGGGCCTCAGGCTGGACTGGTTCACCTGGTTGAGCTGGTTCTGGTTGAGGCTGCATCACCGGCTGCGGCGGCGGTGGATATGGTTGATATTGAGCGTACAGCGGCTGCCCAGGTGGAGGTGGAGGTTGCTGTTGGTAAACAGGATGCATCTGTGGAGCTCCAGGATGGACGGTCAGAACAGGAGCAGACGGAGCTGAATTTTAATACAAAAGATATGTTTTTATCTTCCAGCAGAAGGAGACAGGAAAACTGAAGCGAAATGACATCACACTGGTTGAGTATAAAATCACAGGAAGAGTCTTTTACTGATGTTACATCGCTGATAAATACCTGACATGGTTGGAGGAGGGTAGGGGTTGTCTGTGACGATGTGATGAACTGGAAGATAAATAGTTCATTAGACATTTTAACAGGTTGCGTTATAAAAATGAATTTCCTCTGTATGATAACTTTTCAAACTGCTTCCATAGTCTTTGCCACTTACCATACCAGCCAGGAGGGGACGGGCAGTAGACTGGTGCAGGCCTGCAGGGGCCAACTGAAACAGACAGGAAAGAAGACACTTGTTGGTTTTTTGAATCTTCCAAAATGACAATTTGGCTTCAGTGCAATAAAGTTATCAAACAGATGTTCCTCCATTCTCTTTAAATCATAGTGAAAATAATAGGTTTACCTTCTTGTCCAGATTCTGGGACGTCTTCTTGTTTTTTGGTCTCTGTCTCTGTCAGTGTAAACAGTCAGATGTGAAAACAAGTCGTCCCCACATGGTCAGGAATATTTTACTGTCTCTTATCACAGAATGAGTGTAAATGACCTGTTTTGGACGTCTTGGTCTTCTCCTCTCTCTTGGCTTTTTATTGTAAATTGAAAATAGAAAAAACATCAATTAAAATTGTGACAGAAATAGTGAAAAAGTAAAGGTAGACTGGATATGGCTGGTAGACGTGTCAGATATCGGTTTTACAACTATTTGTTGTAACCATTCATGTTATCATCCCGCAACACTCTGCAGTTTTCTCATGATTTAACCTCAGTCCCAGCCACAGTCATTATGTCCAGTGATTCACAGTGAGGCCATCAGGTGTCTGGAGTGAGAGTCAGTACCTCTAAACAGAGCAGGAAATCTCCTGACCCTCTTGATTTTCGGCTGCAGACCTGCAATTCTGGGAAGACCTGGATACAGCACATGCAAGTGTTATCATGTTTTACTTCTCAATAAGAACAAGTATTGATTAATGCATTTAGTTGTGGTATAAAGATGGTATTTTGGAGTGTTCAGTGTTACCCTTCCTTGGTGGTTTTTCGTCTTCATGGTCTGGAATTAAAAATTAACAAGGATAAAAACTTCACAATGCTTCATTAAAATTATCACTAATTGTTCATTATAGTCACAAAAACATTAACGAGTTTCAAATTTGTGGTGATTAGAGACTTTCCTGCCCTGATTTCTGCCTCTGAAGTAGCATTTAGCCTCCAGTCTACTCCATCAGTGAGTGTTTAGCTGTAGCTTAAGAGATGCAGGTTGCTCAAAGACACTTATCGTACATTAACTTTATTTGCATTTGTTGTTTTGTCTGGTGGCTCTAATGGGAATCCCTTCAGTCAAAACCTGAAATGTGTCTCGTCACCTTTTTTCCTTCTCACAGCTGAAACCCTCTTGGGAGCATCTGAAAACACAAACAGGAGATCACAGATTTAAAGCTACACTAGGCTTCAACAGCAAACACCAGACTTCTCACAGTGATGTATGTCTGCCGCTGCTCCACAGACAGCAGGATACATTTATCATACCAACCTGAAGTTTATATTCTACCACTATCAGCAGATATAAAAGATCATTTAACTGCAATAACTCACAGAGAAAATACTGAATCCAAAGTTTCTGCTACTGAACTAAATCCAAATGCAACAGGTGCAAATCTAACACAATAAAAATACATACTGTATGTGTGCGGAGCTGTTTTCTACACATTTGATCTTGACACTAATATCAAATTTGTGCCATTATTTTTGAATTAATTCATGTCTGCAAACTAACTAAACATAATTCAGCTCTATGGGAGAGAAGATACTGAAACTGACTGATCGATACGAAATAAGAAAGGCAAGTGCAATCACATTTCACTCAAACTTTAAATCTGTTTGTAATGATAATATTTCTATAAATAAATTGTTGAGCACTCAATCAAATGCACGGCTGAAAAAAAACAAATGATGCAACAAATGAACTTAATAAATTGGATTACTGGCCTAAACAGTGCTTTACGATACATGTTATTGTCTCTGTTACATATAAAGTTCCTTTGGTGTGGATGTAACATTTACAAAGTAAAAACAGAATGAATAGAAAACAGTGCTTTAACTTTATTTTGTACAAAAATAAATAAATAAATGAATAAAGACAGAAAGAAACTGACCTATCAGTACATGTTGAATGACTCTCCGATCTTTAAAATGTTTCTTAGGTATTCAGTATTTTATAATTGCATTATATTATTATAAAAAAATACCTGTCTGAATCTCTGCTCTTTTGTGACAATTTGATTTTGTTATTAGTGTCAATCTGAGTCCACCATTAACAGCAACAGGATCTCCTCCTGGTCTCCACTAGCGGTACCAAACAATACTGAACTCCCCTCAGCAGAGGAATAAAGTCCCTCCACTGACAGTGAATGTATTGAGATAAAGATGTGAGAGTTTCACAGACCTTTCTTCTCTGTGCTCTTGGTTGCAGACTCTTTGGTCTTGGCAGAGTGCATACAGGAACACACTGAAATCACGAAGCAGACAGTTAGACTCACATTGAATTTATATGTTACAATTAATACGATAAAATAGCTGTAATCGTCCGCAGTCTCTGACCTGTGGCTTCCTCCTCGGGTTCAGGCAAAGGCTTAATCACATCCACCGTCGCCTTCTCCTCATCGTCATCTTCATCGTACTCCTCTTTTTCATCTTCTGGCTCATCGACAGATTTCTGTGTTCCAGCCATCGACTCTTCATCGTGTCCCTCCTCCTCCTCCTCCTCCTCGAGAGCAGCAGGCAGACTAGTAACTGAGGGTGAAAGCAGCAACATGCATTTGTAAGATGTAAAATAAGATGACTGACTACATTCACAGTTATGGACTGATAAATAACATACAGAGTTTTCATATTTAACCACGATAAGAAAGATATTAAAGGGATAGTTTGACATTTTAGATCTTTATTTTGCTCCTGTCGCTCATGTGGAACAAATGTAGGTGTCATGTTTCACAAAGTCAGTCTTTTCCTTCAGACTGGGCAGGAAGCTTCAGGCTCAGCTAATGGAAAACAAATCTAAAACAAACAAAATTAGTCTTTTTGTTTTTAACGTCCCAAAACTACAGCACACCACCATAAAATTGTAGAATGCTCAAAACAGCAAAAAAAGAAAACACCAATGAAAAGAAATCTAATGAAGAACTTTGTGATTTGGTACTTGGAGAAATAACAACCAAAGTGTGTGTAAAAAGCACATCATTTAGCAATAAAGTCAAAAGAATTTTCCAAAATGATGTTGGCTTGGATGAACCGTTCAATGCATTTATTTTCATGTTTAACTTCTTTTATTTTAAATGAGGATTGTGTGTAGATGACAGGCTGAAGCTCTTGTATGAAGTGAAGTATGACTGTGAGAAGGAAATTTCATTTGCTACATAATACCAGAGATAGTCAGATAGAGAGCCTCTGAATTTCTTTACAAGGATTTTATACAGTATAAGACAAGGCTTAATGCATAAAAAATACATAAAACTGGCGGTTCCATACATGAATGGTCCTCTAGAAATACTAAACATCAAATGTATGCACTTCACTTCAGCTACAGTGATGGCACTACCTATAAATCTTAACTAAAGGTTTTCAAAAGGAACCCACAGATGAGAGACAGTTTAATAATTAGCCCACATTAGTTTTAATTCGCTCATGTTGCTTTAACAGTATGTAAAACATAGAAACATAATAGATGTGATAGTCACCGATTTCTTCCGACTCATCCTCCTCAGTCTGGTCTTCATCATCAGCCTGGCTGATCTCGTCCTCATCCTCGTCCTCATCGTCATCTGCCTCAGTCTTTACTGCCGCCTCGTGGACAGTGAAGGCTGCTGCAGTGGTGGCTATACACACACACACACACACACACACCCACCAAGCTAAATGTAACATTTAAAGACTTTTTTTAACGACCATATACAACGTAATTTATTACTGGTTCCACAAACAGCTACAGTATAAAGGATATCAATGAAAACCTGTGGAGACAATATGGCCTAGAGTTAATTACAACATATATTCATTTGTTGACATTTATATACATTTGTGTCAGCACTTTGCACCTGTGTCTAACAATGATTCCAGATAATATTATTAATTAACCATCAAACACAACCGGGACCTAGATAAGCAGCACAAAATAGATGGATTGGTCAACCAGTAAATAATAAATAATGTATTGAACATTCCAACATCTGAAACCATAGCACTCGGGATTTTACAGTTTTCAGATACAAAAACAGCAGGCTGGAAAAATAGGAGACTTTTGCGAATTACATTTAAGATTTTTTGATAACTACTAAGGCCTTTTTTAAGGGAACTGAAATCAGTGCTTTTTCAGATAAATACTGAAATACGTTTCCAATACAGAAAAATTGTAATGTTACTGTTTTTACATGCCTATTGTGATATGTCGGGCAACATTGTAGGTTAGGAAAGTTAGCTGGATTTTTTTTAACCTGATAAAATACATTATTTTTAGTTATTTCTATTTTTTGATAGCAATTTTTAATCATCTATTTATTAGTTTCTGCTAATACATTTCTTTAAAAAATAATATTTAAAGTATAATAAATATGTACAACATAGCACACTACAAATCCACATTTACACTTCTCATTTTCTTTAATATGTTATTGCATTAACATATTATCAATATAATTGATGTAATATTGATTTAAAAGGGTCATTTACTTCTTCACATTGATTATAATTTGAATGGAAACCTGGCAGCCAATCAGTAACGAGTAAAAAGGTAATATAACTCACAATCAAAGTAACCAGTGATGCTGCACTATACCTGTAAGCAAGACGTCACCAACATCATCGTCATCTTCATTATCTTCATCATCATCATCAACATCATCATCATCTTCATCATCCTCACTGACTAAGGACTCTGATGTGATTTCGTCTTTTTCAGTGTCAAGAAATGTGTCTTTGATCTCTTCTTCCTGATCAAAGGTGAACTCAAACGAGCTGGTATCAATATCTTTATCATCCTCATCATCGTCGTCTGTTGTATCATAGGAGATGTCATCACTGAAGACAGTCTCTCCAACAGACTCTTCATCTGTTTTAAGAGCAATGTCGTCATCATCGCCTAAGACTCCACTGTCTGTACTCTCAAAGGGAAAGACATCAACTTCCTTATAATCATCATCATCATCTTCATCATCATCATCTGTCTCCTTTTCAATGACATCATCAAGTTTGTCATGATCATCGTCAAGGTCAACGTGGACGTCTATGTCAAGGTCACTGTCAATGTCGAGGTCATAGTCTTTGAGGTCACTGTCTTCCTCTTCATCTTCATCATCTGCAAAGTGCTCAGAGGAGGCAACAGAGATGTCCTCATCTGATCTGTTCAGATCATCATCATCATCATCATCGTCATCATCATCCTCATCCTCATCCTCATCCTCATCAGTGTCCTCAGCAACTTTAATGTCTTCTTCCAGATCTTTGTCGTCGTCTTTGACAGCAGGCAGAGGAGGAAGGTCAAGCTCCAGGTCGTCATCGCTGTCTTCTGCAATGACATCATCGCTATCAGATGTTGCGACACCCTCAGCTAGTCTATCGTCTTCATCATCATCGTCGTCATCATCCTTCTCGTCTTCCTCTTCGCTGGAAAGAAGTTCAGATTCACTGACATCTGAGGTGTCAGTGAATGCATCATCACTGGTATCGTCTTCATCATGTTCTTCATCGTCTTTTTCATCATCTTCACCAGGTAGAGCGACGTCTTTGTCGCTGTCTTTGACATCAACAGGTGAGTCAGACTCAGAATCAGGAGACGCTGCCGACTCTTCATCCTCAGAAGTGGAAATAGGTTCAGGAGAAACTTCTTCATCATCATCATCATCATCATCATCATCATCATCATCATCAGCATCAGCATCAGCATCAGCATCAGCAGCTTCCTCAGCAGACTCTTTCACATCATCTTCATCTTCATCAGCATGTTCCTTCTCTTCCTCTGCCTCATCATCTTCATCGTCTTCATCCACCTCTTCTACTGCCTCCTGTTTCGATTCACCTTCATCATCTTCATCATCTTCATCAGTCTCCTCCTCCTCCTTTTCCTTTTTGTCCATTTCCTCCACAGCATCTGCTCCTGCCTCTTCTTCGTCTTCCTCATCATCTTCAACTCCGCCTACCTCCTCCTCCTCCACTCCTTCCTCCTCCTCCTCCTCCTCCTCCTCCTCCTCATATTCTTCCTCCTCATAATCTTCCTCCTCCTCATAATCTTCCTCCTCCTCCTCATACGCCCCTTCCTCCTCTAGTTCTTCCTCCTCTTCTTCCTCCTCTTCCTCCTCCTCCCCAGCAGTCTCCTCTTCGTCTCCCTCCTCTCCCTCCTCCTCTTCCTCCTCCACAACTTCAGCCACTGGTATTTTCTTCTTTGCTTGCATCTCTACAACTGTAAAAAAAAAAAAAAAAAAAGTCATCAAAAATCATGTTTATGGTAGCCGTTAACTGTTGAGTTTCTCTCTATAATATTGTAAGGTCTCGACCTTACACTTGGGATAATGTATGTTATGACAAATAAAATTGAGTTGAAAAATTGAATTTCCCTGAAGCATGGGGGGCAAGAATGGGAAACGTTAATCTTCCACATTAAGAATATTTACGGTGCTGTAAGTGGTGATGAAATGACAACAACTGAAATCAACTAAAAATATATCATGCACCACAGTTTACAGAATGGTCACTAACTTGGTCTGTTTGTCGTTTGGTGCTGGGAAAGTAGTATGCAGTGGATTTATCAGAGCTTTTTATCAGCTGCCTGCTGCTGCAGTGAACAACACTGATTAAAGTGTGAGAGTTAACAGCAAAGAAAACCACAACAATGAGCTAAAAGATAATACAACACGACGTAAAGCTGAGGGAAACTACTTCAAGGTTGAGTTAATGGGAACATATAAAAAGGTTACAATACCAAAGTAAGTGTAAATGAATGCTAACACTTAGCTTGTGAAGTAGCTATTAAAAGGAAATTGGCCACCATTAGCACTATAAGCAGTCAAGCTAAAATGCACATGAATATCTTCAACAAAGAGGTACAGACCTTTACTTCGAGACGGTAGAAATTCTCCTAGAATACAAAAAGAGAAATGGAAAATCAGCAACATAAAAGAACAAAAATACAGATTTAACTCGATAAAACATGCTAAAGTTTAGATACACATACACATACAGTACATTATCACTTTCATTAGAAGTTTAATAGGTTAGTGGCAGCAGTTAGCAAGGAAAGTTAGTGAGAAACAGAATCTTTTTAGAAAGGAAAGTTAGCTATATCAGTGCAGCTAGTAAAGATAAACATCACATTGGTGGAGTACTGTGGTTTCCTGCTTGGTGCCTTCATTAGTCTACTGTTACAGGGTGGGGACAGGACTCATCAGTCATTATCTTTGTAGAGTTAATCTACACATACCCACAAATAAAGCCATTGTAGATATTGTACCTTTTGCTTTCTTAATCTTCACCTCCACTTCCTCCTCCTCCTCCTCCTCCTCCAACCATCTTGAATCTTTGAGATGGTTCATACATAAAGTCAGTTTAAAACTACCACCATGATGATAACCAACTGGCCATGTGGTCACCTAGATCCATGTATGTCTGTTATAGCAAAACTATGTCTGTGAAAGTAGCAGCTTCTTGCAGCGGCATTATTTTCCATCAGTTTTCATCTATTTCATCTATAAATCTTTTGTTTGCAAAAGATCTATAGATCAAAATAGAAAGATTCTTTAAGTCACATCATGAAAAATTGCAGTACATGTGCTGTTCATTCATCAAAGCAGCATCTTTTGTGGGTTTTTAAATGATCACCAGAACAACCTTGAGATAAACTTTAGGTAAACCAGACTTATAAGTGTGGGAAATACATTTCTGGGTGTAGATTGTACATGAGCAGTTAAAAATCACTCCTTCTTGAGGAGCTTACATTGATTGTTCTAACAATAATGTAAAGGACAGCACATGTAATGAAGTGCAGCATGAACAAGACATTCAAAAAGCAGCGAGCAGTCATTTCTTGTTCTATAGCTGTATGATCATTGCAAAAGGAAATAAAATCAAAAACAGTAGCAGTACAAACCTTTTTTTCTTACTGCGTATAGATTTCCTAGAGAAGAGTAGAGAGAAATGAGTATGAAATAACAATACTATAATATATTAGGAACTCCATGTGTGTTTTTCTGCCATGTGCAGAGTGACTGTACCTTCTTCTTCTTCAGGCGCAATCAGGTTCGCAGCAAATTTTAATATTACACTGATCACGTTTGCTGTTTCCTCCACAGCATCATTCACCGCCTTCACGGGGTCCGAGCCGATCTTGGTGAGGCCTCCTGGTGGAGCAGGGACATGAACACAACAGCTGATTTAGTCACTCATTTTTTGGCTGAAGTTGTTTTCCTAGTTGTTCTTGACCAAACAAAACAAATGCATTATCAGTAAGAGCCTCTTACCTCTCACTTTTACATTTCCTCAGTGCAGACAAAGCTCTCATTCTCAAACATGAACTCTACAGCGAAAGGTTAAACTGAGGTGGGGCAACACCAACTAAACTCATTTCATGAATTTATCAATGTCACATTATGAGTAGGGGTAACCCACCGTCCAGTTTAACCATTGCAAAACGCCTTCTACATAGCATACTGATGTGCAAATAGCCTTTACAAAAAAATCACATTGACCCTCATTCATCGAGTTACCATTCATGTCTTCTAATCTGCTTCTGAACAATAAAAAAAATTCCACATCACATTAAAATCTTAAAGGCTACTAAATAAGATTTTAAAAGAAAATCTCAAAATTTCTACACTAACAGCTGTTGCATGTACAGCTGAATCTGAGCTGACATCAAACCTCTGCTCATTTATTTCTTTATACAGACATAGAGGTTTTCAGGAGTCTCCCAGTCCTTGAATATGCCGATGTTTCCGAGTCAGTCTGATGAAGGAGGGCCAGTGTTCCCAGTGCAAATACCATCAAAACATGATTTAATTTGAATCAGGGCAGTCACATAGATCTGAGTCTCCAGTGAAAGGCTGAGAAACTCTCAACCTGTGAACATATTCGGTTTTTATTGTAGCTGTGGTGTGAAATGTATAAACTCTGTATTCAATATATCAGTTAAACATGATTCCACTTTTTTAAACATCAAGTCAAAATTTTTTGTACATTTCACAATTATTATCCCTGAATGCAACCAGGTTTACACAAAAGGCAAACTGGCAAAATAAACACTGGGAATTATAAAATAAATACATATCGTACAGAAAAATAGAGCAGTGAAATGCATTTTAAAACACTGAGGTAGAGATTTCAGAAGAGCTTGATTTATCTAATTTTGTCGACAGGATCAGAACGCTGATGTTTGTTACATCAAGCTCGCCTGAAGTTCAAATATTCAAAACCAAAAGTTTTTTCTGTTTTCAGGAAGGAAAATCCTTATTTCGGTTTTTCAAATATTTGAACCAGAGTTTTCTTCTTCACACAGAAATATGCAAGTAACAGAAACAAATACATATATCTACAACGTAAAACTACAAGCTACCCTTGACATCATGTTACTGTACACCTGAACACTTAAGTAAGTACCAGAAAGAAAGCAGCTTGCACTTAGCTACAGACCTGTCTGTGAAGGACTGCCTAACATTGATAGCTAATATTAGCAGTCAATGTTAGGTTGTTAGTGGTTTTTATCAGCAAAAGGCTTCTGGTCTGAGCAGTTAGTATCAGGTAAGGTGCCTTGCCTCTATGCCCTGAATCCTTTAAAACCTTCCTGACGGCAGGAGGTGGGTGACCTGGTTGGATGAGAAACACAGTGGTAATAAGCAACAACATTAAGCACAAAGAGGAGAGAAGGAGGGTGGAAGACGAGAGGGAGAAAAAAGCAGTGGTAGTGTGAGATAAAAAATATTCCTGTGTTCACACTGTGACGGTATGATGATGATGATAAAGTAGTTATGACCTGTCACCTGGCAACACAATATTAATTTCAATGACCACTGTGACAGAAAGAACAAAAGAGGACTTGGTATTTCTCTTAAAATCAATTCACACATTGATTTGTCCCCATGCTTCTTTTGTCCTCTTGTTCAAGATGACATTGTGAATAAAGAAAATATTTCATTATCAGTTTTGTAGTCTAGGAAAATGTATGAAGTCCTATGTTTAGTTGTTGCCAGGCTATTCCAGTTTTCTTCATGGATTTCTTTTAATTTAAGGTGAAAATCTCATATAATAATTTGGGAAATGATGGTAGGTGTTCATGTTAGGGTTAGAAAAATTGAATGATAATTAGAAGTTGAACACAACAGAAATTAATGAAATTATGGAAGCATTGTTTGTTTTAATGTTATGAGGAGAAATGGAACCAATGCTTGCAACTTAGTAATGAAGTTGTTACAGATAAACATATGAACAAGTAACATTAGTAGATTTTATATCAGGGCAGTTTGATGTGTTGTACAGAAATATAAAGATAAAAGAATCATAGGAAAATTATGAAAAAGAAAGAAGAGAGAGATACAAAAACAATATCAATGATAAGACAGTACATTTAAAACAACATGACTTTATGCTAAGCTAACACAAAAGCTCTTTCCAGCTTCAGGAATAACATCTGATTGGAGACCACTTAAAAAGCCTGTGAGAAAGAAGCATGTATTTCTGTTTGCATGACACCTATGCAGACAAAATTGTCATTAAATAAACTGGCATATCCACCTGCAGCTAAGTCATCACATTGCTGACCAACATGGCATTAGATTACAACACCTTCTCAGTTTGTTCCTGTTGGCACTGTTTCATCAGGTCTATCTTTGAAAGACAGTTTCCACATCTCTACATCATAAAAGACTATATAAACAGCTGTTGATCTCACAAAGTAGGACAAGATAAAAGGTTCTTAAGAATGTCATCCTGCACGCAGAAATGAACAGTAGCCTATGTTGCTTCAATAACTGACACATCTCCAAGTTGCACCACATACATATTGGTAGTCTGGTTGCTAGACTACCTGGATGTTAAACTTGTGACTACTGAGATGTTTTTGTTTTTGTTTTTTGCCTCTAATTGGATCTAAATCTCATTTCAAATTCACAGAAATTCCAACTGTCAAAACAGAGCTCATCTCGTAGCCATATGCATATGCAGTGTGAGCCACAGCTGGCCCACATTTGGTCCTCTAAGTGCAACAATATGCCTGATCTGCCTGACTAACCTGACTTGTATGATAATGTATATTTATCATACACTTCCATACAACATGTAGTCTGGAAGAAGCAAAAACCCATTTCTCTATGGCTCTTCTTCAGTGTCTGACTCCAGTGAATACACCCCTGTATCTGAAACCGAGAAGCTTGGAGGTGACATAGGGCAGAACCACAAAATGAACAACAAACACTTCTCCATACCTGAGATGGTCTTGTAGTCCAGCAGATCAAACATGATGACAAAAACACAAGACCATGTAATGATGAGAGCCAGAACTAAGATCCAGGCCAGCGGGGAGCTGAAAGTAGAGTAGAGGTCATCTGTGAACGTTTTCTTGGGGGTCCGTGCAGACGGCGACCCGGCGTCTACGTTCTTATTGTCGATGACCATGGTGGTGGTGGTGGTCGACGACCGTGCTGAGAGGTACAATATGAGAATCCATGGTCAGATACAGTGCATCAAATGTGGCTGATAGAACAGTACTAAATGAATACATTTCCATAAAGTCACACTGCTAGCTGGCCTGTGCAGCCAGTGTTTTAATATTAGAAGTATTCAGTGTTGTTCACGTTCTTTTAATATAATTCTCTTAATAATAATTATCTTGCCAGTTTATTAGGTACATCTACTAATGGAGGCTGTACTGAAGTGCTGTTGAACTGTAATGCAATGTACTGAGAGCCTGAGCTGCAATATTTTGTCAACCCCATATATAGTTGTATGCAAAAATAAAAAGTTGACATTTGAAGAAAGGCTCATTTTTAATGTCTGATCGCTGTGGGGGTTTAATTTACTTCATCCCACTTGAAAACATGTAATCTGCCTTGGGGGGAGAGGGGGGGTGACCTTTGAATACAACTGTATTGGGATTTAAATATCAGAAACACAACTCAGTATAATGCAATACAGTTCAACAGCACTACAAACTACATCCTCCAAAGTGACCATGAAGTCAATCAACACCTCTCTGAAACAGTTTCAACAAAAACTGAACATTATAACCTTGAAAACATGTTACAACTTTGAAAACATGTTACAGAGTGATTGAGGCAAAACAGACAACCAGATTAAACAGTTAAACTGCAATTGTAGAGAGCAGCAGGTTGCAATAACAACACTTAACAGCAAAGTATTCAGACGATTAGGTATTAAAGTTTGGAGTAACTTTGGTGTAACAGTCAGGAGCAAATAAAAAGATGTGTGTTTAAAGAATTGTTTAAAGAATGTTGGCCACTCGGGGGCTAGGGGACAGAAGACAAACCAAGCTAGCCTTGACATATTGCTAGCACGAAGTTGTTACGCCAAAGAGTTAGCAAACAGCTGCCCATCATACTTCCATATCCACCTGACACAGAGGGGCATTAGCCTTCGTTTGAAGTAATGTTGGCGTCCACCTGACGTGTGAGTCCAATATTTTAGCTCAGTTTCTTTTACAGCAACTCTGAGAAGAATATCTGTCTCTTTAACTGCTAATATTAGATGTTTCACTTTTTTCGCTACTAAGCTAGCAACTAACTGGTGCTGAGCGAGTAGCATTTTGTGGGTTGACAGATGGAGGGTGATTAAAGCATTGAGACAAAACAATCGAGCAAATTTGCCAAAAGAATTAACGAAGGATGTAAAAAAAAACAAAAAAAAAGCCCAAAGTTTCCTGTTTTCAGTATTATAGTATTCTGCCACCAGTGTTGAAAAGCACATTCTTTAAATTTGGTGTTATATTAGCTGTAATCCTAACCTTAACCTCAACTCTAAACAATTAGTGTTCAGTTAAACATTGTGTTGCCATAGCAGCAGCAGCAGCAGCATCTGGCAATGGACTGACATTAAATCTGTAATTTTGTCAAATATGTGACCAAGGAAATATTGAGAGGTATCTTCTATTATCTCTTTAAAGGCCTTTGTTGCTACATTGTCTGTATGTATTACCTATTTATATTTGTTTTACGACTGTTGAAGTGTGAATTAGTTCATTTATTCTTTTGACCAGTTTACGTGTTACTGTACTAAGTTACTGTTAGACTGTTGTACTTTTACACTTTGGGACTTCTGTGTGTTTACTTCTAGACTAATTATTATGGTGTGCTAACTATTGGGACTTTATGTTGCTTTTGATACTTTGTTTTTTGCTAGCATGAGGTACAATATGGTAATTTGACCATAGTCTATTGTTTTGTGAATCCTGCTTCCTTGTCACTGTACAAGCCTTAACTAATTTGAATTTTTAGTTCCCTGGATAGCTGTACACTTACAACTTATATTCTGATAACTAATTTCTCAGTACATAAACACTTTCCAGTATTCATACATGTCTAGCACTATGATTCATATTTCAAGTTACAGTTCATGCCACAGGGTGTGATTTTCAGAAGAAAGTGTCTACCTGAAGTTGTGTGGAAAGTGGGTCAAGTAGCATTTAGGGTCAGTAAGTTGACAGCTACATTTCTGACTAGTTTCCAAACAGACTCTTAACACTGACCCAGTCTTGCACTTTTTTGATATGGAAATGGCGCTATCTGTTTTGTGTTTTAATTTGCTTGAAATTAGTTATAAAGTTTATGATAATACAACATAGTAAGACACAGCAAGTAGTCTACCTGTAAGCAATCATTTTCAACAGTGCATCATTTTAATGACTCTCTTTCATAAAGATATAAGACAGTGGATTCATTTAGTCTCATTTTGTCATAAAGTGCTAGTTGCTAATGTCACTGTGGCTGTGTTAGGAGAGTTCAGACCACCTGTTGACTCTCTTCAGCTCACATTTGGCAGCTACTGTAGATTACTCCTTTACTGCTGGCTCAAACAGCTTAGCAGCACTCTAAACACACACAGACACACAGACACGCACACACGTCTGTCTAACTTCATTACTCTGACTCCAACAGGTCAGTTCAAAATATGAGGGACCACATTTGATGCCTCCCAGAGGCTGCTGTGGGACGACTGTCATGACACTGGACGGCTGAAGGTTTGAGTAAGTGTGACTAAATGTCCTGAAAAATGTCAATGGGGTTACTTGTCCTTTTTTTCAAATGTAAAGTAAAAGTAAAATAACTCTTATTTTAGAAAATAATATAAATAAAAATTCTGTGCATGGCAAATTAATGGATGGCCCCTCAGCAATATGAACTTTTTAAGCAGTATGATATACGGCCCAAGGATGATGATGTCAGTCTTTCTGCCTGTCCCGAGCAACTCCCAATTTTGGTAACCCTTTAAACATTTATCTAGTGTCACCACTCCCATTAGATTTTCACCTTAAACAGCACTATGGTCACTGAGCCTGAAACTAAAAAGCAAATCGCTGGATTTTCATATCATTTGTGTAACACGAGAGATAAGACATGAGTAACTTTCATGCGTGACAAAATGTTCAAAAATATTTAGAAGACAGAGAGTATAAGCTACAATATTCATTGTAGCAAATTTCATAATATAAAAATATAATCAGGATAAAGGTTCTGTATTGATGTCATATAATGTAATAACAGAAACATAACAATCATAATACATGTCATGTCATACTTCTTTTGCTCACTACTATCGTGCTAGATAGCCTATGTTAACAAGCAGCCAGGCTAACAATAACCATCATAAATGTACCTTGATTGGTTCACGCATAGATAGATGTTTTATGAGCTAATACACTGGATAAATTTAGGAATTTACTGTTAATAAACAGTGTAAATTAGAAATAGTAAATTAACTAATTGTAAATTAGAATTAGCCAGTATGCAAGTTAATAAAGAGGTGGTGAATAGCCAACTACAAAATAACTACAAATAGAAACATCCCAGTCACAGTTACACTTCCTTTAAGCTGTACTCATTAGTATTAACCCTAAATAACTAACCCTAGCCCTAACTACACAAACTCTTCAGTGTTTGAGGTGTTGCCAAAGTTATTTTTTGACTTTTTGAGTGAGTCATTATGCTACAGATCCAACAAGCTGCACTGCTGCACAGTCTTCCTCTGAGAGACATGATCCGCAGCCCTTTGACTGTCAATCACTGGGGAGAGTCACTGGAATAGCTGATGCAGGACATTTCAGTAGCAGTTACAGTTAAGAGAGTTTTGCTTTTTCTTTCAGGCTTTGGGTGGATGGATTTGACCACATACTGTAGTCATGTGATGATGTCTGCTGATAGTTGGTCAGTCTGTGCAACACTTTGGTTTAGATTATTGTATCTTTAAAACCACTGGCCAGATTGCTATGAAATATGGGACCACAGTGACCATCCATCTAGCTCTGTCAACTCACATTTTTACTCAATGGCCATCTTGTTAAATAGATATTGTGTTTTTATGTTTGTGAATTTACATTGTTGTGCAGCACTAAGGCAAAATCCACTCTCCATTTCCTTTTTTAGTGGTACACAATAAACCACTGAAACACTGTTCCTGGCCCTTTGACCTTTTCTGACCATTGTGAACTTCTTCAGCAAAACCCTCAGATCAGATGTCAAAATTACACACAAAATATCTAATCAACCCTTTTTAGACTTGGCCACCACTTTCGAAATAAATCCAACTCTAAATGGTTTGACCAACCATCCATGTACGATTCCTCCTTTTATGGCTGACTTGTCTCCACACTGCGGATGAGATTTCTGTTGTTATTCTCACTGGGTATCCATGGCAGCTCAGCTCAGAGCGGTCATTAAGAGCCTGTGGTTACCTATCCGGTCAGAATACAGGGAAGTGTAGTCATAACATGTCCTTAATAAGAGAACATAGCTGAACCTTGATGCTATTAATCAGGTTAGCAGCTTGATTGAAGCTGTTTCCATGTCTCCATCTAGCATTAGTGTTGCATCTGGTGTTATGTTAGTCTGGACACTGCAGACTGTCCATTCATTTTTTGTTTTTCCACTTTTTCCTACGGGATTGTCTCCATTTAAAGTCAGACATTTATATTTGATATTGGCTCACTACCTCACAGAAACCAATTCACTTCCTTAACTATGGACTGTTGTGTAAACACTTTGTAAAGACTTCTGACTGACTTGATCTGTGTATTCACTTGACAGTCATAACTCCCATAATTACTCTTAGACAAAAACTTGCTGCCAAGAAGACGCTATAGATTCAACAGCCTTTGAATATAAACGGAACAAGCATCATAATATCAGCACATCTCATATTTGCACAGATAAACCAAGCTAAAAGTTATAGCACATTTTCCAAAATGCTTTAACATGAAGATCTTTCTTGTGCATAACAAGTCACTGGTAAAATATTATGGGCTGTTATTGTGGTTTTAAAACATCTCATTTTGTGATCTTGACTTTTATCACCATTTATTTTTTCTTGTTGTAAGGAGATAATTAAGAGGTAACTGTAAGCCAACAGTTATTTACATTGTTAATTGGATTCTTTAAAGAATAAATAATACCATGAGAATACAAGTTTTGAGTGTG